TCTCTCTGTCTACACATCAACATAGCAAGCAAAGTTTTCCAAAAGCTCTATTTAAAACTGTATTTGTGCGTAGACAAAAGGCTAACATACAGAGAAAAAGCTATGTTTCAAATATTATAGAATAAATATTTCTCCAGTTCTTCAGCAAGTTAGTCGAAGGTCAGGAGAGAGTCAGCTATTTGTAAGGCCAAGTGCAAAAGAGAAACTGTGTTCGAATATAATTGTAGCCTAAGTCGATGCTCAGTGGTAAATTTTTTAACATATAGGAAATAAATAAATCATTGCTTGCATTAATTTAACAGATGTATGAAAATATTAATTAAGTCTCATATTGACCACATATTTTCAATGTTTGTCTCTGCTCACTTTTTCCTTTCTTCAGGAATAAATGTAACCGTATGTCAAACAAACGTAAATTTAATGCACTGAATGGGGAAGTTATAAACTCAGGGATTTGATTTTCTTTGAACGGTGCAAAAAACGATATGTTACACAGACCCTAACTGAGGAACAGGGGGAAAACAGGAGTACACAAACACTGCAGCAAGATGGAGACAAAACTCTGTGTAACTTCAAATCTGTCAGCTGCTGACACGTCTAAATTCAAGACAGGGTGGGATTGTTGTGACAGAGAGGCAGGAGCACCTCCACAAGTTTAATGCGACGAGTAGAGCAAAACAACCACGGGCACATTCGCGAATGAATCCATTACAGCCTGGAGACATGATGACGTTCAAACACTGTGTACCTTTTTATAATCAGGGCAAAATCAATTCTGATGCTGCAAAAGGAGGGAGGACAGATACGAGCTGCTTTCTTGTTTGAACTGTATACATTAGCAGCACTTAAAGTGGACACACCAGAGTAGAAATCAATACATTCATCTGGTAGCAACAGTAAAGTAAGCACATTTACAAATGACAGACATGCTTTATGGGAAGCTGCATTTACAACCCACTCTGTCTTCAGAAAAGCTGTGTTGTTTCCGTTTGGATGTATTTAAACATTATGAGGGAAGACAGACGGAGTTTCACCTTGATGCTCAAAAACGTAAACATATATCAAATACAAAATATATGGAAATGTTGATTCTTAGCTTCCCTGCCAGAATTTGACGGGGAAAAAAAACTCTCAGGCGCTAAATGGACTGCAGCAGATCTCATGCCTATAAAACTGCTGCTTATATAGGACCTATAAAAAGTATGTTTTATGTTCTTACAGTTATAGCTTTGTGTGTGTGTGTGTGTGTGGACAGGTTTCTAACAGCACATGAGAAGAATTCATCTTCCTCCATTCTTAGCAAACCTGATCACAGGCTGCACAGAAATCAAGAATTCGCAATCTTTTCAAGTCGAGCCACATACTTTTAGTTGAACTGAGATCTAGACACCGACTCAGCAACATCTCAGGGACATAAATATAGTTGTTTTTATGCCTGAGACACTAAAGGCTTTTTTTTTTCCTTCCTTGGATCAATCACAAAAAGAAAAAACCCTTTATCAAATTCCTTTTGACATTTAAACACATCCAGAGGTTAGTGAATCATTTTTATAGACACCGTATGAAGACAAAATCCAAGAATCTAAATAATTGAGTTCCAAAAAGTTTTTCTTTTTCTAAGGTAACAAGACTTAACGGTTATTATTGACTTTGTACCTTAAGTTTCCATGACAGATTTCCGTAACTCTGGTTGATTAAGGATGCAGCAAGTAATGAACATTTGTTTCCTTTAGTTTTTTATAGTTTTGGACCCTCTAAAGACAAGCTCAGTATGTAGGTGCAGTTCTGTGGTCAGTTATTTTAATAACAAAGGAAATTAGTGCATGGAAATTGACAAACAGTGAAACAACCATCAGAGGTGAACCAATAATCCATACATTCGTTGCAAGTTCAAATTATAAAAATAATCTTTTAATATAAACTACAAATTCAGTGCACAAAGAACAAATGTACAAATCATGAACTTGACACATTGATTGAGACATAAGTAAGCATGTTAAAAAAAATCAATTAACATGGTCGTGTGAGTTAATATCATCATAATTAGTTAAAGTGATCAGCATAAATAGGACTGTAAATAAATTATGAGCCTTTTTTCTCTGCCTCCAAACATCCTTGGCGAGCAGGTTGTCGTAGTTTACTCCCCCAGCGGACTTCTACTTGGGCCACCTGCACCTGTGGACGAAAGAAACGTTAAAAAAAATGCGTGAATTTGGACATAGCTGACAGTCTCAGAGGTGAGAACGATGTCATTAGCCAAACAACAGATATACGAGTTCCTACGTGCACGAGGCTTGGTCAAAATGCTGATGTTTGTGGGCGCAGATGGAGGAGTTGAGTTGACAGCGATGGATCTGTCTTTGCTGGAGAGTTGGTTCAGGTCGAGGAAGGCAGTCACAGCGCTCCACATCGATCTCACAGTCCGGCATCCATGAACTGAGTGGGAGCTCTATGCAAGACAAAGCAATGCATGAAATGTGTTCCCATCTGGTGAGTTGAATCTGTATGTTGTATAGCAGAATTTACCAAATCTTCTGAAAATCCTTTCAACAGCTACTCAAAACCACAAATGTGAGCCTGATAATGTCACTTGATGAAAGGTATATATACACACACACACACACACACACACACCTGGAAAACTCGAAGGGTAAGGTATGCATCTGTCACTTGAACAATCCCAAATCCACCCACTGGCACAAAGTCTCCTGGAGTCCTCGACCTCCGACAGCTGGCCCATCAGAGAGCAGCTGCCAACCAACCAAATGGATTAAAGCAGAGCAATGAAAAGGTCGCATCAAATTCAGCTGAGAAATAAGACCGACTAAGGCTTTGGACTCACCCGCTGCTCCTGTGAGGTTGAGCATTACGTCGTATTATTGCGGGCTCCATGCACTTGCACTCCGTGTGGTTTGCGACTTTTATCAGCACAGGTTCTGGTACAAACTTGAATGGAATCACACTGAGGACCTAAAAAACAGAATCACATACGTAGAAGTCACTGTTTGCCAGGTGAGAACTAGTGTTCCTGCTAAAAACCTCAAACCCCAAGTAAAAAGCTAAATGATGAAGGATTTTTCAATTTATCATCAGAGATGTGTTCACTCACGGTTTTATTGACATATACAGTTGTGGTGTTCCTGCAGGTGACGCCCTCCTGGTTGCAGCAGCCACTGCACCTGTCAGTAGGAAAAGAAATGCACATCTGGGTAAAGTGAGCTGCATGAAAACAAACCTAAATACATAAACCTTCCACTCACAGATACATACAGCAAGTTGTTGTTGATGATTTTCCTGTTTTAAGGTGTGATCATACTTTGTCACGGATCAGAGCTGTAAATTTACACGAATGAAAATATGTGTAACGTTACTTATAGACAAAACAATGCCTCTGACAGGATGGGCCTTTTTGCAGCATAGGGTCTTTTGTTTTACTTACAAAATATGAATAAGGAGTCCGTACAGCTACTGAATCTTTTGTGACCAACATCTGATCAATGTTGTAATCTGCTGTGGCCAAACTGTGTTGTATTCTCATTTCCAGTCAGTTTCAGTAATATAGCTGAGATGTGCATGATTCCTGTCAAATCAGAGATATTCTGAAGGTGCAGAAACTTTAGCAGATGAAACACACATGATCTCCACCGGGGTTTTTAATTAATCAGCATGACATGAGATGGTGCCACACGCACATTTTAAGAAGTGACTGCCCCAAAACATAAAAGACACAAAAGAGGACAGAAGAGGTAAATTGTGCCTTCGCGTGTGTCGACTCGGAAGGGATGATATGAAAGATTAGTGGATCTCAAGTACAGGACACTTAATAATTTGAAAAAAATACAGAATACCTGAGAGCTTAACTGTATTTTATTTGATTATATTTTGAATTGTCACCCAGTGTCTGAAGTTTGTGTTTTCTTTTAATTCACTTCAGCTCAAATTCAGTTTCACGTAAACTTCAAAAAATTACATGCAGAACCCAACAAAAGTAATTATAAGAACATAAATAAAAAAACATTTCCACCAAAAACTGGTGTCAGAAAATGCCCAAAGTGGTGCATAAAAAAATCAACAGAATACAGAAAAATTAAGTGGTTTTTTGTTGTTGTTGTTGTTTTTCAAATCTATTTGCTTGAACAGGACCCCCAGAACCTCTGCTTAATGTGTCCCCCACAATGTGTCAATAAAACAACACTGAAAAATCATCATCATGGTAACTGATGTAGTATTTCTGAGTATTAGAGAAGTTGCAGTAATTTGCTTTGAGCTTGTTCAAGTGTCAAAGTTCTGGATCTGGTTTCTTGTCAAACAAACCTGTGGACCGACACACAGGGTGGCTTGAAGAACATGGAGGGGTCGGTGCCCAGCTCCTTGGCCACATCGACGCACGTCTCCCTGGGCATGCACTGAGTCCGCTGCCACTCCTCATCTATGGCTGAATAGAAGAAGAAAAAAACCCACGGTGTTCACTAGCACATCAAACACACACACTCACACTTCACTTGTACTGTGTACTTCATCCAACCTTTAAGTATCTCCAGGCTGTAGGACTCGGCAGCATAGCGGGTTGAGCGGTGGGAGCCCACTGAGGGTGGAGAGGAGAGGGTCTCTGTCTGGGTCTCAGGCTGCTGCAGCCTCAGGCGACATTTCCACAACTTCCAGTCAGGAAAGTCAGCGAGTCTCAGCAGCTCGTCCAGGCTGGAGGACGATCGCACCTTCCTTTCCCACTGCTTCATGACCTGCTGGGGTCACAGACAGTCTCACATTATATAAATACAAAAAGTGGTGATCTCATTCTATTTACGGTCTCTGTATTTTGAAATGTTGCATCATTTTCCTTAATTTGGGGCACTGTAATGATTCTATTGAAACCAATTTATGAATGCAGTTACAGCCTTTGATGTCAAATACAACTTCTCATTTGGTGAAATTGGAAAAGATTACTGAAGACCTTTTGAAAAATATGCATAATGTTGTGAGTATTGCTGGATACTAATCCTTAAACAAAAACCAAAAACACAAATCACATTGCATTTTTTGCTTTGTAATTTTATGCCAAAAATGAAATTGCATTGTCTATTTGTTTTTAAACTAAACGTTTGAGAATGTATTTATTTTTTCACATTTCTCAGTTGGGACAGATGAATGTTTGTAATAACCTGAATTGGAGTAGTTTTTATTTAATGGATTTTTTTTTTTTCATTTTGAGTTTGGAAACAAACAAATAGACCTTGCAATTTTATTTCTAGCTTAAAATTAAACAACAAATCAGTCAAGTGACATCTGTTTTATGTTTTTCAAATGAAAAACCATATAGGAAATTGGAACCCAACCAAACCAAAAATGAAAACAGAGTATGCTTTCTTGAGAATTTTTGCAGCGCAATATTGAATCAATTTTACACATTCAACATTTACATAGCGGAAAGTAAATATGATGCACGCTTTAGAAAAAATCTAATCATTTTGACTTAGTATTGTCACTGAGTGTCGTAGAATTCAGCCTCACAGAGCTGCTACAGTGACCGCAGGTTCACAGTCTCACAAAAACAATCAAATATGATTTAAATTTCTGGATTGGGTAAAGGTAAATGCATTTATGGCTGCATTATATAACAGCTGTACATCATGCATCTTCTTCTGCTGAACACGTGTCTTACACTGAGGCTGAATCTGAATTACGTCTGCTGCTGTGAGGAGTGAATCCGAGCACTTGGCCTGATGTCACACTCATTAGCCAGCGTGAGATTATCAACAGCTGCAGGAGCAAATTTGTATGTCGTCCTCAGTGTGCCTTTACACCATTCTGCTTGTGGAAGCTACTCGTACTGAAGCCTCATGGCCTTGCTTCTAGAGCACATGCCGTTTTTACACATTACAATTCATGGCAGCTTCCTATAAAAATAAGGGCTTCAGCCAGTTTAGCCACCAGCATGCACATTTGAGGTGAAGCAGCAGTGTCATCTTCTCAAATCTCTTGCACTCTGCAGCATGTGCACATGCACATTAACACACAGTTTAAAGTTGAGGTATCAGATTGTCCTTGGCACCTCTCCACACAGAGCAGAGGAGCTGTGAATCAGGGCTGGGAGAAAACCATAAAATCGCATGTCATGCTACCACAGTGGGGCAACATTCTCATGGTGGCTTAAAGCAGAACAAAATGGAAGCAGAATGAATCAGATCTGCAGGGATTGTATAAGACGTGTTATGAAATGCAGTCCAATAGGTCACTTCAGTTTATGTTTTCTCCTTTTTTCTTCCAAAAAGATGTTCCGTGTGAAATATTTTAATTGTTTTGTTGTTGTTTTAAATCGTTTAAATGTTAATGGACTTTAAAGAGCCAGGGATGTGAGGAGGAGACAGGAGGGGAGTGGAGCTAAAAATTTAGAACTTCCCTGTCTCATTTTTGAGGCGGGAAAGCCGAAGCCCGATGCCAGATGGTAGGTCTACGACAGGGGTGGAGGCACGACAGAAAAGACGGTCGTGAAGTTAGCTTTTGTTTCCTCTGGACAACTGTAACCATCTAAGCCCCTGTCATGTGAGGGTGGGGCAGGTTTGCTGCTGCTTTCACTTAAACCAGAGAAACAACAAACAGAAAATAGGGAGGTTTCCCTTCTGCAATTTCTGCCAGATAGACCCTCTAATGAGAAACAGAGGGAGGCTGTCTGAGAGAGGGACGAGGTATAGATGCTGGGAGTTTAAGTGGAGACAGAAAAATAATGAAGATGAATGACAGCTAAAGAAACAGGTTTGGTTTGACTGCATTGGCATGAATTTCCCTGTTTTACACATGCAAGTGCACACATGATTACAGGACTGTGAGCACACGTGCAATGGCATTAAGAAAATGAGCAAAAAGAACAAAATAGGTTACACAAAGTGCAGCGGTTTAATTAAACAAATCAAAGCTAACCTCAGTGCCAAAAGAAACAAAATATGTCCTCATAGTTGAGCTTCAAAAGGCAATGAATTTCAAGAGGCTTCCTTATATGCACACACACAAGATGTAAAGCTTCACGCCACACTTACCCGGCTTCCTCCCTCCCTGTGCATGCTGTGGCCCACGTTTATCCAGCTGAGCTCCACCACCAGAGTCACCAAGCAAGAGATCCTGCACAGCGTCTGTCTCATCTTCATCATCATCCCCCGACTCCGCTCGCTGTCTTTGAGAAGCAAGATGAACTTTTCCTCTCTCTTTTTGTTTTTTGTTTTTTTTTACTGGCAAAAGGCACTTGGCCGCCTTTCTGCCTCAGTTTCCCAGACCAGCTGAGTCCCTCGGACCACACACACTGTCAGTCCTCTCAGTTGCAGGTATGTGCAACACAAACTCTCGACCTTCCAGCTGCACAGCGGAGCGTGTTTGAGAGCCAGACGTAACCTGTCACAGCTACCCAGACGCCAAATGGACAAGAGGCTTTAAAACCCTTCACTGCTGAAGCTTTGATGCAGAACCTAAGGTGTCCTGTTAATTAATGAGGTTGCTAAAAGTTGGATGTGACCTCAGGGAAAAGGAAAAAAAAAAAAGCATGAAAGTCAAATTTCTTTTGAACACTTCTTATCTCTCTTTTGTCCAAATAGATTTAAGGCCCGTGAGACGTTTCAAGGCCTTGAGCTGGATTTGATTTGAACCTCTGTGTTCAAACTTCTGGCTTCCCTAAATTTCTAATTTCAGTAGTTACGATATCTCGACCTTTACGTCCCCACTGACAGTCTTCATTAATCCTGATCCTACTAGGGTTTGTCCATGTAAAAAGTGCCTCAAAAAAGCAGCCACACAGATACTTCCTCTAAGATCTGGGTGAATTCTGTCAAAAACCTATGTGAGGCTCGTACGTCTGACTGGTCTGACCTTATGTTTCTTCCACTGTTGCTGGTTCCTGCTGCCTTAAAGTGCGCCTTTTTATTTGGTTGTGTTGCCCGTTTTCCTTTTTTAATGTCCGTCTGTCAAGTGATCAAGTCCCCTGCCTGTTAAATCCCCTAACAGTGTCCTTTCTTCTGGAGTTGCCAAACCGCACACAGACGAAGAGTAGTAACATGTGTTTTAAATGTGATCCAGACCTCCGTAACGTGTGAAGGGAAATAAGATGCCAGCACCACCCCGTCCCACAGACACCCCACCCACTCGACCATTCAGGCCCATTTGACTCAGGATGCAATCCGCTAGGAACATATACAATGGTGGGAATATGTACAATATTCACAGTTTTTCTGAAATCTGTTCAGCTGGCTGGGAAACAATGCTTAGGTACACAGAACAGGTGGGAGCTTCATTTAAAAGAGGCAGTGCAAACCGAGTGCTGGTATTTTTGGACAAAATATCTCATATGTTAGATGAGAATGGCGTCTCAGAACCATGTTTGTTGCTTAGGCTGCTGCAACTTAAACTGTTTCAATGACTTGGAGCAAATGTATAGAAATAATGTAAGAATACTTCCAATGTCAATCAAAAATATCCTTTAATGCTCGTAAA